CCAACCTTTGTTGCAGACACTGTCAAATTTCACCTGATTTCAGTGGAAGATTGTTTGTGACTTCAGATTTGAAAATCCCACTCAAAGTCACTTCAAAGCAGATATGTTTTTGAAGAGAGCTTGTAAGTGGCTCTTCAGCAGTTATTTTCAGACTACAGGCAACTGTTTTGCCAGTCAGCAGAACTTGATGCATCACCAAAGTGTATCTGAAATCCTACCAAAATGTATTTGAAAACATTGTGTACGTGATAGGGTGTTGGAGATCAGTTATCCTATCACTATGGTCTGCAACTTGGGAACTGTTCACTTCCATAATTCTGACTACTTAACTCCATCTTCTGAGCATAGTTTGTTTTTTTCCCTGTTCAGCATCATCAGCCTCTCCCTTTTTCTAGTTTCTTGAAGAAATTCCTGACATATTAAACCATTCCAAGTGCTTTTTACTGGGGAGGTAGTGGAAGATATCCAAACCCCCCAGCAAGCAGATCTGGAGCTAGCATGGAAATTGCTCCTTTGACCATTCTTTGCCTTGCCTTTGTCCCTCTCTGTGCATCTTCATGCCTTCCATCCTTGGCTGTTCACTCATGAGTTGCTGCAGCCCTGCTAAGAGCAATCTGCAGTGCAGGAGGGGGCTTCTGTTTCACAGCAGGGTCCTGTGCTTTGCTGCCACTCTGGAATTTTACTGACTGAAGTGTTTGTGTACCTCAGATTACTTCTGCACACCTGGACAACCCACCAGCAATCCCTCCTAGGCAACCAACCTCTAAAGTGTATTCTCCAAGGTACTCGGTGCCTGATCGGACCTGCATCTCTGACTCCTGTGTTACCACTGCAAACCCCCCCGAGCTACCGCCACGGGAACCTGTGCGAACTCCAGATGTTTTCTCTAGCTCACCACTACACCTCCAGCCTCCACCCCTGGGGAGAAAAAGCGAACTTGGTAACACCTTCTTCCCAAACAGCCCCTCTCCGTTCACGCCCCCTCCCCCCCAGACACCTTCTCCACATGTAGCACGGAGGCATCTGCCATCGCCGCCTTTGATACCGCAGGATGTGGACCTCCCTTCTGTTGCTGGGCCACCCGTTCCTCCACGACAAAGCACTTCTCAACATATCCCAAAGCTTCCTCCAAAAACTTACAAAAGGGAGCACACGCACCCGTCGATGCATCGGGATGGGCCACCCTTGCTGGAGAATGCCCCCTCCTCCTGAACTGTCCCTCGCGCTGGGAGTCGCATTTTCCTGGTGCTATGTCTGTTGCTGGCAATGGATGCACTGAACCTGGTGGTGTCAAGGAGTTGGGATGTGTATGCCAAACACTAAGAACTCTCCAATGCGTTGGAAATATAGTGTACAGAAATGGAATTGCAAAAACAGACTTTCTAGTGGAAAACCCGGTTAACTTGCTATTCTTGTTTTAGTATGCAGGACTTTGTTCTAAAATAATTGGACAGCTGATTGTACCAGAAAACAGTCTGGAGAGACTTCTTTGGCCAATGAGCAGAGACTGTGTTTGTGTAATGATCAATAATGTCCAGTACAGGAAGGAAAAACAGTCTTGTATCCATCAGTTCCATACAGTGGCACAGTTTTCGGAATGAAAACATTATGCACTTTTTTTAAATCTCAAACAGGGAACTTTATATCCTTCTTAATTTTCCTTTGCTTTACTTACTCCCTGCTTTAAAATACCTTCCTAAAATTATGAGAAGGACTGTGAGGAAGATCTGTGGTACCTAACCGAGCTAGAATTAAGGCAAAGCACTGTATTGCGGTCCTGTTTACAAGTTGTTACAATGAGTAGTAGGGGGTACCTAGGCTTCACCAAAGAGGTACTTTATTATTATTTTCTGAAATACTGTGGTGCCAGTTCAAAAATAAATTTTTGCCAGGAAGCATAATGTCTAATTATTGCTTTCTTTAGATAGAGCTGATGAAAGTCTTACATCATTAAGGTGACAGCGAATTTTTTTTTAAAAGCAGCACTATCATCTGAAGCAAATATACTACATTTAGAAGACTGTTAATCTCTGCTAGGTTATGTCATGTTCTTTTTAAGGTTTACTGATAATCCATTTCATGGCTAGTAGCTATTCTTTTTCAGTCATGCCATGAAAACAGTCACTTGTCAACTTCCATAGCTATTGTCATGTTTTACTAACAATAGAATAATCAGCATACATAGGATTGCCTTGCAGTTGCATAAATCGTGTGTATATAGTGAATGTTGCATAAATATACTTGCAGATTGTTTTTAATTTAATTGAAATAAAGATAAAGATATGTTTGGCTGACATACGTTAAATTATTAATGGACAAATGTTCAACTTAGTTTTTCAGTTAAGCACTGAGGGGGATAAAAGCCCACCTTGTGGTACATATTTTTCCTAGTTCAGTGTATGTATTTTAGTAATAAGAGACTAAAGAGGTGTTTCTGGCATGTTACAAATAATAATTCAGTAATATTTGAGAGGCTGGGTTACTCCCAAAGTGAATTATTTTACCTTGTGAAATGTTTCCCACATCCTGTATGACACATGTTAGGAAAAAATCAAACTTATATTAATCTTTACAATGGCTTTTTCTGTCCAAAATACACATGACAAAACAGGTATGTTGTAAGTATTCTGACATGGTTTATCCATAAACCTGCATGCTGCTCTTCGACTCCAGACGAGACTGGGACAGTGATGGATGACAGTTGTTGAAGAAAAGGAGCTCTGTTACAACCTCTACAGTAGGTATGTGAAGCATAAAGTGTCTCACCTTCAGTTCACATGGCTCATGAGGCAAGTAAAATTCCCTCACGTATCCTGTTTGGAAGAAGGACACATCTCAGGATCTTGGAAAGCTGAATCTCTTGCAGATAGTGTCAGTTGAATGATGGCAGAAATCACCTTTTTTAAAGCTTTCAGTAATGCCATTGATCAGGGCCCTTTGATTCTTTGGTGTGGTCGTTACGCTGGGAAAGCATTTCGTCAACAGGAATGGCAGTTTTCACCCAAGTCAGATCTTGAAATTGTCAGTTGTGTTCCTTCTTAGATGTCTTTGACAATGTTGTTTTGAAACAGTTTTTTTCTGGCAAAAGAAGAAGATCTCAAAACCATGGCTTCAGAGGACAGCATTATATGGGAGCTTTATAAAAACTGTCAAGCCACAGGAGGTGTAGTTTAGGTTATGGATTCTTTGGATAAAAGCAGCATGATGAGCATACTGTTGGCAATGTTACTAAATTATTAGCTCCTCAGTGGGTTAGCAGGAAAACTCCATAAATTGAGACTTTCTGATCTGTATTTCTTCTTCAGCACATTTTTGTCTGTGCTGTTGTGCAGCCAAGGCAGAGCAGGCCACCCAGTGGTCAGGGTGCTCAGTCAGGAGGGACCTTGCATGGCTCCTGCTAATCAGCAGATTTCTTAAATGTCAGTAGGTTTCTGCTTTCCTTTGTGGAGTGGGGAATACTGTTCCCTCTTTGTGGTGGAGGATAAAAGTGTTTTCCTGGTGAGATACTTGGGCAACAGGTGACAGTGGTCACCATGGAAGAACCTAAAGTCAACATTCTTTGGAGCTCAGGGGTCAGTCTCAGTGCACAAATCCTGGTGTTGACTGAGCTGCAAACGGGAAGGACAGGGTCAGAATCAAACCTGTAGCATTTAGGAGTTGAATATGACTGCTAAGCCACTGGTTTGTGTCATGGCAGCTGTGTGTTAATAATTTCTGATCTGGAATGGCTTCTTACTTGGATCATGTTTGCATTAGTGACAATACTTTAAACATAGAAAATTAAATTGTTTTAATAATGCTCTCTGCCTCCTTGGTAAATGACCCTGATTTGCTCAGGTGTGGCCTGGACAAGGAAATGTGCTCGTGTGGAGGCCTGGAGAGTTTTGCTGTACTGCTGTAGAGAGCTGATACATGGCTAAAAGGCAGCCAAAACCGCTACAAACTGTAGGCAGGGTTATGTAGCAGAACTCATAGGTTTATAAGAAAGTTGGGGACCTTTTTTTGGCAGGGCCTCTTGCAGTAGGACAAGAGTAATGGCTTTAAACTAAAGGAGGGTAGATTTACACAAAGTATAAGGAAGAAGTTTTTTGTAATGGGTGTGGTGAACCACGGGAACAGGTAGCCCAGAGGTGGAAGATGCCCCATCCCTGGCAACATTCAGGGTCAGGCTGGAAGAGCTATCAGCAGCCAGCTCTAGGTGAAGATGTCCCTGCTCATGACAGGGGGTTGGGCTAGATGGTCTTTTAAAAGTTCTTTTCCAACCCAGATTGTTCCATGATTCTGTGGTGATTTTGCAGGTGCTGAACATTTGCTTCTGTCCTGCTGCTGTGTGGGAAGTTGCTGTTGTGCTGCCTGGTGACCCCATGGTGACACGTTACTGTCATGGCATTCAGCAGCCCCTGCAGCAAACTTGGCTGCTAATGGGGAGTATTGTCCTCTTTCAGGGCTGATACCATGGAAGTACTGGAGTGCTCCATCCTCAAGAAGCCATTTCCAGTGTGGGCTAACCTGCTGCTCTAATATGCCTCTCTTAAATCAGGGAGGGAGAGGCCTGTCTCAGAGCTTGCTAATACACTGGATTATAGATCCTTCAAGTTTCAGAGTGACATTGTGGGATTATTTAGTAATTTTCTTTCGTGTGTGTTTTAAATTAGATTTTTCCAGTGATATCACTGGAGGTACCACTGTTGAACATAGTAGATTATTGTGCTTCTTTGAAAAGATAGTTGAATTACCATTTCTAAATCCATACAGTGCATTGGTGAAGTCTTTCTTTGGGAGACAAACCTGTGGCCTAATACAGGTGTAAAGACAAAAATGCTCTTGACTTATTTTGTAAATCCCATTCTTATTTTCCATTAAAAAAAAACCCACCTTTAAATGCATTTTTCTGCCCACTGAGAGCAAATTTACCTTTTGTGTTCAGTGGAAAATAGTGCATTATGAGGGAAATGAAGTAAAGAGTAAGGGTTTTTTTCTTACTTTCTAGCCAGAAAGTGTGAAATCCTGTACTGGGTGGCTGAAAAGTTGAAAGGGAAAAATAAAATAAAAACCGTTTTGCCAGGTGCATGACAATTTAGCTGCCAAATTTGCAGAACATCTGTAATATTTTTTAAAAGAAGGTAACCAAAGGTAGGTGATCAAGGGCACATGTTATTGGAATTGCTTTGGACAAATTTGTTGCATCTGTTTCGGAGTAAGCCTTTTTTTGTTTAGAGTCTAGGATGGCTGACTTAAACAGGGAGTTTAGCTGTGGAGAGGTGTGGTCTGGAAGAGTCTTAAGGAGATGAAGATCTGTCACAGTGAGCTACACCATCATCAGGATCTTGACCAGAAGCCTTCAGAGTGAATCAGCTGGGTTCTGAATAAGAGCCTTAGAACTTTGTGTAGGGAACAGTCTGCTTGCATGGCTGGACTTGTAGGGATACAGGATTGTGTAAGTAATGTTGCCTCAGAAAGGGATCAGAGAAGCACCTGTTTCTTCTTTTAATGGATACAACCTGCTGGCTGATTCAGTGCAAGAGACAACAGCATTATTTAAAGGCAACATTTATTTGGCAAAGGAAGAAAAATAATCCAGAGCACACATGTACACTAAAGATGGATTTGAATTGGACCCTGTGACAGGTTGTGTGTGTGTGGTGCTGAGCATCATTCATTCATACTATTTACATTTGCAGATTCTGAGCAGGTACAAGGACATCTCAAGTGGTAAGTATAGGCCTGGAAGTAAGAATTCAGAGAATCAAAAAGAAATAACCATCAGTTCTGACGGTACCTTAAATCACTGAAATAGAAGCTGAAATCCACATGCATTTTACAAGCAAGAGTCTGCCACTTTGGAAGGATTTCCTCATCCAGATGTTAGCAGGTAGGGTTTTTTCCTTTGTCCTGTTTCTGTCCTGGTTTTTTGCTTGGCAAATATGAAAAGCAGATTTGTTTTGTGACGGATTAAAGTGTCATTACATACATGAGACCAAAACCACAAGAATCAGAGCCCTTGACAGGATTAGTGCATTACAATGGACACTTGTCCATAATGATACAGCTCTGGTTCCATGGACAAACAAACTGTTCTGTCTGTGGCTGATTGCTGTGCAGAACGAACAGGCTTTGCTGATGCTTCAGTTACAAGTATCTGGCTCTTCCTACATAATTTCTATCCTGGCCCTGCACAATCTGACTAAAAGCTGCCAAGTCCCAGGAACAGTCTTTGTGATTCAGTGGCTAGTCAGCATGAAGGAGTCCTGACTGGAAAGGGACACGGAATATGTAATTTTATGAGGGTATGAGAGAAAGGGAAGGAGATGGAAGGGGATTTTTTTTTTCCATTAAAAGCCTTACATTAAAAAAAAAAAAAATATTCACAGAATAGTTTTCAATAGCTAGGGGAGGAAAGTATGGTACTTCTTTGCTTTTTACTTTCTTTTGTAAGGAGGAGAAGTGGGTATTTGTTTTATTAAAATCTATGGGACAGGGACCAGCTAAAACATTTTAATCTTTGGGATTTTGCTTGGTCACATTCTTGAAATGTTGGGAAAACCTTGATTGCAGTAAAGGATGGGTTTTGTCTGTCTGGATAGCCCTTTTCACACACACCCCTCTGCCTCTAGCAGAGGAGGAAAAGCAGGTGGTAGGTGCAGGTCAATCAACACTGGAGAGCTCTGGGCCCTGCATCTGCAGCAGATATTGGCCATGGACACCTGCTCTGGGCTCCCCTGTCCTGCTGCCATGGCCAGGAGAGCTGTGCAGCATGGTGGGTGCTCTTCTCTTGGCCCCAAAACCAACCACCTCTGCACTGATGCGGGGACTCCCAAGCCCCCAGTCTCACAGTATTTCCCCCAAGGCATTGCTATTGGCCCCATGGAGACAGTTCACAACTTTTTATGGTGAAGCTGTCCTTTAGACAGACAAGGTGATAAAATCACAGTTGCTCTTGAAACTGCCCTCAGAAGGTCCCAGCTTCAGGTGACACCAGAGCTCACCAGTACTGCACTGGTAACCCACTGAGCCAGTGTGCTCTCGCTGCCGGCTGTGACACAGGTATCACAGCAGAGCTTCTCACTCTTCTGCAGAGATCAGTTACTGAGGGTTTGTCACATCCAGGTGCTGTGAGGAGGGTGGCCTCTGCGTGGCCTCGTTGATCTGTCCTTGCACAAGAAGGAGGGCTATGGCTCTGAACATGGTGCACCATCAACTTTCCTGCCCTAGTGCCTTGATTTTGAGCTGGAAGAACCTTTCCAAAGCTGCACGTGATGAGGCTCGTGAGGGTGTCAGGCCAAAGAGTTAGCAAAGTGTATTCCAGGTGTGTTACAGACCAGGAGCCAGAACAGTTTGGCACTACCAGTGTCTGCACTGATCCACACTGGGGATAAGGTGGAGAAGAGTCTCTTGTGGCAGGCCCTGGGCCCAGCCTGCATCACCTGCCTGGAGACACGGGCGATTCTGAGAGCAGAAGCAGTGATTCCTATAGCAGGACACAATTCAGGAAAACAGCATTCACATAAAAGGTGAAATAGGATTTTGGTGAGTGATGGAAGTCCAAAAGAAAGGATGTAGCTGATTAGGCAGTGCAACACTCAGGTGCTTCAGCTGATGCTTCTTAGACCTTCTCAAACCACCTGTAATGCAAGCTGGCCTCCTGGAATGCATCTTTGATGGTGGGTTTTTGGAAAGTACAGGAAAGAAGAGAATTTTAGACTTCTGGCCCGGGCTGCAAAGGTAACCTTTCTGTTGTGGTAGAGGCCAAACAAGACCTGCCTTGAGTTTGGAAGAGCAAAGATGTATGGCAAATCAAGCAGTTTTGGGGGATGGAGGGGAGGAGAAGATATTAGGGTTTGGCCAAAGCTTTCCAAAACTGAGGGAAGTTCAGTCAGAGATGAAAGCTAGCAAGTTCCTGTGCTTATTGGACCTGCTGGATGAGCTCCACTGCAACCCAAAGCCTGGCCCTGCCCTGTGCTAGAAAGAGCAGGATGCATTTGTAAGGCAGTTGTGAGAGTCTCCTCTCCCCCACCCTCCACCCTCTGTGTTAGTCAGGGGGATCCTGGGGCCTTGCTGTCTGTCTCCACCCTCGGGGACCTGGGGAAGCACTGCTGTGCTTTGGCTGTGGCCTGCCTTTCCTGGGGCTGCTTATTTCTTTTTGAAGAGCTTGCGGAAGGAGCTCCGGAACCCCCCCTTGGGCTCGTGCCGCGGGTTGTGGTCGCTGAAGGATGTTTGCTCATTGTCATCCTTCTGGCAGAACCTGGTGTTGTCTTCTGCATGGAGCTCCTAAAAGGGAAAAGACAATTTAACCAGCATTTGCAACCTCACATTCTTGTTCCCTGATCTCTCTTTCTATTTCTCTCTCTCTGTGCTAGGAGGGACCTGGTGGGTGAGGAGGTGCTGACAAGGCTGGGAAGCAACACTGGTACCTCTGCAGAGAGCTTGTTGCTGGCTCTAGGGCTGAGGCAGTGACAGAGGAATAGAAGGATAAGCATTGTTAGAGGGAACTGGAGCCTTTCTTGCTAAGCTTTTTGTTTAGGGGGAGCTCATTAGCTTCTTTTGCCAGTGAGGGAGCAAGCCAGCTTGGGCAGTTGGAAGAACTTCCCACCCTCTCCTTTCTCCCCTAGGGCAGGGAGGCATCAGGCTTTGGAGCTGTGGTAAGGTGTGAAAGATTCTTCTACTGTCTCTGCTGCTGCACAGTTTTATGTCTGTGGGGCTTCATTAGCACGCACACATTGTGGTAAATGTGCCACTGAAAGATCTGTCCCTCTTTCAGGAGAGTGCCAAGCTCCTCTCAGCAAGACTCTGGACAAGACCCTTCACTCCAGTTCTGCCACCACTGCCATGGTGATTTCCTTTGCACTGTGGGAGAGAACATCTCCTGCAGTTCTGGACAAGCTCCACATCTGCACCCAGCTTTGGGCCCTAGTTCTGTGCAGGTGAGTGCCAAAGAGCTCATCAGCCCCTTTCTCTGGGGTGCCTGTGTCCCTGTGGCTCTTCTTCCTCTGCTTCATCTCCCCTGTTCAACCATCTACCACCTTCTTCACTCGCTAGGCTTTTTTTTCTTTTCTTTTGAAGTTTCCTTGCTGCCTTTTCAGTCAGGCTGTTGGAATCTATCTCCCATCATCATTTGCATCTACAGTCTCCTGTCTAAGCACCTCAGAGCACCCTTGGCTTCTGCTTCCTTGGCCTCTACTTCCTTGGCTGTGACAGCCCAAAGCTGACTCTGAACAGTCACTGCAAACTACAGAAACATTGCTCCTGCAGGACCTGGTGTCCCTGAAGGATTACAGTGCCGTTTGCCATGTCCTCTCTGAGGGACACGGTTGCTGGGCTCTGACTGTTCTCACACAGAGTTTGGCATAGGTCTGTACAATCCAGGCAACAAATACAGGTGAAACAAAACCTACGGACCAGATCCCTGCTGGTGTAAATGGGCTGAGCTTGGCCAAGTCATGCTGGTTTACACTGGCATGACTTATCCAGCACTTACCCAGCACTCCTCACAGCAGGTGGAAAGGCACCTCTTTACCTGGGTGCCAACCACAGCACTAATTTTGAACAGCTTTGTGTAAACTTTGTGACCTGCTCAGAACATTCACCTGGGGGGGAAGCTCAGTGACAGTGGAGACACACAAGAGGCTACCTTGTCTCAAAGGTGTTCTAGCTCAGCCAGCTGTGCATCTCAACCCATGCTTATCCCTGGGGAAGATGTGTGTGAAAACGAGCTGTCTTGTCCCTCCCTTGGGCATGTACATGCAGTTGAGGTCTTGGAATGAGTGGGTTTGAAAGCTGTTTTGGCGTGTTCTACTCTTAACTGTATATCAGATCTTTCTCCTCTGCTGCACCACCATGTGCCTTTTTTTTTTTCCTCCTCCTATTTAAGCCTCCTTACTTCCAAAAAGCTCGGTTTTTCACCCGCTCCTCTCTGTGGGGGGAAGTAGCTCCTTTGGGAGCTTCGAGATGAGGCTGAGATCATGTGAGGCTGAACATTCCTGTCCTGCTTCTGCTGCAGACGGCTCCCACTGCTGCTCCGTGTGCTGTAGAGTCTGGTGCTCACGCCCTCTGCGCTCCGCGGCAGCTCCTTCAGGGACCTGCTCAGCTGCTTCCCTTTGCTGTGGAACATCTCACGCTTGTAGGTGCTGCTGCTCACGGGAGTGCAGCTCTTAGGCAGTGGCTGCAAGGCATGGTCTGTCCTCTCCGGTTCTGAGGTGAAGTTCACAGGCCTAAGGAAGCAAATATCCAAGCTAGACTCGGAAGAGGCCGGGGAGCAGTTCTCAAAGAGAGCAAGGTTTTGGAAGGTGTCATCTTCGTAGGGGCCTGGCATGGTGAAAACCTCCCCAGGGTAGTCAAACTCTTCGTAGCTTGGTGCAAAGTTCCTGGCATCCTGCAGCAGTTCCACAGAGGTTCTGATGGCTCTCTCAGTGTTCCCCACCGCGTCAGCCGGTGGCGCTTCGTACTCCATTTCTGGGATGGATTGCAAGGGGGCTGTCAAGGCCTTGAGTTCCTGCTCTGTCAGCTGAGAGGAGGCAAGGATGTTCTCTGGCCTCTCGTGTTTTCTGCTTTCCATCTCCCAGTCAGGGGGCTTTACAGCCTGGATGTTCTCCATCACTGTCGGCTGGGGTTTCTTCATCTGCGGCATCAAATGCCTTAGAAATAAAAACCAAAACAAAACAAAACAGACAGAAGTGGAATACTAAAGGATGACAGAGACAGCATGACAAATTCCCCCTACCCCTTCATTCCCCCAGCCCTATTGTGTTGATTTTATGGCCAAAAGGTACTCTCCTGTCTTGGAGAACAGTAAGAGGTGTCTCTTACAGAAATGGCCTGGCTGGTTAGGAGGACCAAACTTGGAGAGGCAGGCAGAGCTGCTTAGCCAGTAGCTTTGTCTGACTTTTGTATTCTACAGCATGAAATGAATAGCAACTGAGATGAAAAGCCAACTGCTCCGTCTATCTCCTGCTCATCTGCATTTTAGATTCTAACTTTCCTTCTTTCTCTGTAATGTAGGAGCTGTGCCTCACTTTCCTGTGGTCTGGTTGTCTTTTCAGATGGACTGGGTTTCTCTTTTGGGTAAAGTGACTCTGTCCCCACAATGTGTCAGGAGTACTTGGAGGGCTCCTACCCTCCATGTGTTCCAGCTGAGTCTTCAGCTCAGGATGAATGTGGGGGTGGTGCCAGCTGAGGCTACCAAGGTGGAGGCCTGGAGCAATCTGTCTGTAAGAGGAGGGAGATTGGCTTGGGCAGTGTGGGGAGAAGGAGGCTTAGGACTGATCTGCAACACTGCTAACAGAGGGGACTGGGAATGATGAAGTCAAATTCTTGTTAGTATCAAACAAGATAAGAAAGCACAATAGCCACAAATTGCTGGCATAAGAATAAAGGTAAGTCTAGAGTGATTCTCTGATCATCATCTCATTTGGCACCTGTCAGGCTGGAAATTGTCAAAGGGGAACTATATGAGGAGTGGCTGAGGGCACTTGGTCTGTTCAGCCTGGAGGAGACTGAGGGGAGACCTCATTGCAGTTTGCAGCTTTGTCATGAGGGACAGCAGAGGGGCAGGCACTGATCTCTTCTCTCTGGTGACAGGCTGAGGGAATGGCTTGGAGATGTGTCAGGGGGGGTTTAGGTTGTATATTAGGCAAAGTTTCTTCACCCAGGGGGTAGTTGAGCACTGAAAAGGCTCCCCAGGACAGTGGTCACAGCACCAGCCTGACAGAGTTCAAGACGTGTTTGCACAAAGCTCTCAGGCACACTATGTGACTCCTGAGGATGGTTCTGTGCAGGGCCAGGAGATGGACTCAATGATTCTTGTGCTTTCCAACTCAGAATATTTTGTGATTCTGTGAAGATTTCCAGGTGTTACCAGTAGCCCTGTCTGTCTTAGTCTTGTGTCTTTTTGAACCCATTTTGTACTTGTATCTTGTGATAGTGAATCACATCATTCAGTTATGTGCTGTCTGGAAAAGTATTTTTTTTCCCTGCTCTGAGACCTTTGTCCTGTTTCCCAGCTCTTGTAAAGTTGACAGTGAATAATGCAGTGTTATTGTGCACACCACTGTCAGGCCTAAACAAATTCATGTCCTACCTGATGTACTGCCTTAGCAGGCAGTCCTGGCTAGAGCTCTGAAACATCCCCTGCTTGTAAACCACACAGTAGGGGATAGCAGGATGGAGCCAGCCCTTCATCTCTCTATCCATACCCAGGGAGTGATTTTGGAAATTACAGCCTGTAGCTGCCTGCTGTCATGGGCATGGTGTGGGTGAGGAGAGAATTTTCAGCCTACTTTGAAAGCTGCCCACAAGGACAACAGGCTTACGGGGTGGTTGTGCCAGAGGAAGGTGCTGCTGGGAATGACTGTATGGCCTCCTCAGTGTGGATCCCACTGTCCCGCATTGATGCTGCACTGGGTGTTGGAGAAACCTCCTGGCTTGTACACTGGGAGGTGAGACCTTTGTACAGCTTCACCAGGGATGACCTGAGGGAGGAGAAATCCATCGTCGGGCTAAGAAATAAGGCAGGGAATGAGCACGAGCATGTAGAATCACAGAAAACAGGACTGGAAGGGACCTTAATATTCCTGTTTACCTCTGCCCACCCCAAGGAAGAGCCTGTTCCACCTAGTCTGCTCCAGCCAGCAGGGCATCCTGCTTTCTGTGGTGCTCTTAACACCTCTCCTGATTGCAGTCCCTCCCCAGCAATTTGCACTAGCCCTTTACCACCCTCCATACTTGGAAGCTTCCCTTGAAATTTGATCTTGTTCTATCCTTGGGTAAGTCATCACAAAGAGCAAAGGCAACCAGATTCTGATTTTAGTAAAAAACCTTGATTTCAAGGAATTGTTCTGAACTGCACCTTGAGAATCTACATTCAGGGTAATTTCTGTCATAGATCAGCTCACACAGGTTATGGGAGGCTTTCATTTCTCCTACCTCCTCCCCCAGTAAAATAAGATAACACCATTCTTTTGGAGTCTCAGTCCATAAGGGAAACAGTCCTCACCCTCACCAGGGCCTGGAGCTGCCTGAGCTAAATCCCCGTGTGTTTTCCCACTGGGGAGTGACTTTGCCACCAGCTTAAGGAATCAAATGATTCCATGAAACATGTGGCTGCTTTATTTAAAAGGATTTAGAAGTGATTTTTCTTTTGCTCTCAGAGTTAGGCAGAAGGGCCCACCCCAAATCTGACCTCAGGTTGGAGGGCAAATGCCAATAGTTGTTCTTCTCCAGCATTCAGATGCAAAGAGTTTTGTTTTATTTTAACAGAGCAATGTGCCTGTTGATCATGCCTGGACCTAAACCCCTTGTTTGCCAGGCTTTCCCCACCCCTCCCTTCCATGGTGACAGAGAGAATGAGCTGATGTTGTGCTTACTTCTTCAGCTTTTTCCTCTTCTGTATCAGCAGGTCTTCATTGCACTGGAAGAGTAGGCTGTAGTGTGAGATGAAAACCCGGAGGCGCTGCACGCACACCAGCAGCAGGTAATAGTCAGGGTGCTCTTGCTCCGTGAACTTCAGGACATTCTGAGGCACAGAGGAGAGCAGGCTGTTTGGAGGCTGTCCTGACCCTTTCTGGGGAGAAGGCACTACTGGAACCATGGATTAGGGCTCTGGAGTGCTCATGGCACTGCCCTGGGGGAGCTTTGCTCGGCACCATGAGTTTCTGAGGGACTTGGATGGGGCCTGCCTCCCACTAGTCCAGTGCAAATGCACAAGGAACCACTGTAAATGTAATCATGGGATGTGTGGGTGATGCACTGGGTGAGTTTAGCTTAGGATGAATAAACCAATGTTTTGATTTTCTAGGGCTTGCTTTCTGTGTATTTGCCTTGTCTGAAATGTTTCAGTACAATTCAGGTAAGCCTTCTGTGAACCAGAACTCTTTTTATCAGCCATCTCACTGTAGGACAGGTTGTCGGGCCCTAGGAGCCCTCTCAGATGTGCCCCATCTCTGGCCTCCTGTTTTCCCAGAGCAGCAGACAGCAGAGCCTTTGGCTTCCCAGGGGACAAAAGCTGCTTCTGTCAGGCCAATTGGACAAACTGGCAAATATAAGCAAGCCTTATGTGAAAAAGATGAAACTTTACCTATTGTTAGCTGGCTTTCCCTTTAAATTTTTTTTTTATTTTTCCTTCAAAGAATCCACTGGGTTTGTCAGGACCCTGTACCTGTACAGCCCCAAATACCAGCTCTGAGTTAAAAGTCACCTGATGTGATTAGAGTTCAACAACACAGTTTCCATCCTGGGGCCCTACCTGTAGATGAATAAGGTATTCAGGGATTCGCTGGACTATATGAAAGAACAGAATGTAGAGATCAGACTTGATTTCTTCTTCTACCTGAAATAGAGAAAGTGACTTAAGAGTCTTTTCCACCCACAAAACATCTCCTTCCAGGTGGTTCTGTGATTTAATGAGTAGTTATGCTGTAAGGAGTTACAACAGTTCACAGGGGCACACCAGGCATTTAGGTTGGGGATTATGTACTAGGGACACTCAGCCTAATACAGTAGGGGGCATGTTGAAAGTGCACTAGTTAAAAGTTTCAGTGAAACCCCAAGAAGACACTGTTGCTCAAAATGAAGCTCTTAGTTTAGGCTCAAATTAATTGAACAAAATGAGATTGACTTCTAAATTAAAATGTCTTGGAAGCAAGCAAATGGGGTTAGGTTATTTCACTTTAAACTATCTTTATATTTAACTTTACAAGTTTAAACCAAGAATCCAGAACCAAATAGCTGAAGCTGAAAGTGAAGACTCTTTTCTCTATAAAGGACTCAATCTCTCTGTTTGGATGAGTCCTCCATTTCCAGGAGACAGTTCCTGGAAAAGTCTGGATAGCATGTGCACAGGCCAGCTTTTGGGAGGTTTAATCTGAGACATTGTTTCATGGCACAGCACAAAAGCTGCTGTGGTTTTCAGACAGTGAGGAAGGTGTTAACGCTGCCTTTTGTAGGTGCCAGTCAGCCACAGCAACCTCCAGGAAACAGAAAAGTGGATTGGCAGGAGAGTCCTATCATGGGCAGGCATAACAGGAAGAGATCTTTGCATGTTGCCATTATGTGCTGGGAAGCAGGCAGGAAGTTTACCTCCTTCAGGATCACCACGTGGATCAGAGAGATGCATTCTGGCAGGTCCCTCAGGTAAGCAACGTAGTAATCCAGAAAATTATTCTTACAACAGAGAAAGAGAAAAGAACACACAAACTTAACAGAGATTTTTGGTCACAGAGCCAGCCAGACTGTTAATTCCCCAACATCACTGCTGCAAGGTCACCAATGCAGCGGAGCTGCTGTTTCACTCCTTCAGAGCTTGGAACTTCTCAGGAAATCCTGTTTTATAAAATGTGTTCAGCTGTTGAGCACAGTGTGTGAAGCTTTACTGCTGGTGGGGAGGGGTAGAGAGGCTGGGCAGTAAGAAGCTCTTCTTATCTAAGATTCTTAAAATTTATAAAGTATCAGATGAATTTTTACACATCCTTGCTGCTCACAGGCAATAGAAATGGGTGCAACAAACCATGTGGGCCTCTGCCTGCCCACCTGCTTGTCAGAACTCTGAGCAAGGTGTACTGGGGCAGGGGAGCATCAGAACCCCTCTCTTTTGACACCCTCACTGCAAATACAGCCATTCAAGCTGTCAAGGCTCACATGTGGCTCCTGCCAGCAGGTCTGGGTCTCATGTAATTTATGGAGCTGTGCTATGAGGCTGCTTGCCCACAGGTGGGTCTGGCATGTGGGAGCCCTGAGCACCAAAGGGGCTGCCATGCCCCAGGACTGTGCTCCAAGGGGGTTACTGAAAGGCCTTGCCCTTCAGGCCACAACTGCACAGCACAGCCCCTCTGTTCAGAGTGTCTTGGTCCACCTGCACCTCAATAAAACGTAATGAAACATGACAGAAGATTCTGGAGAGGTCTTTAACATACCTCATCATTTGTCAGCTTCAGGAAGATGTCTCCTAGGATGCCTTGTCGTGGCCAGCTCAGGACTCTCTCCTGGAGAGCGTGCAGTAAATCCACATGCTGCTGCACCAGGAACCGCAAAGAGTTGGGGAAAAAGCTGATGGGAGACCAAATCAGACTGGTTACACAGAGCAAAACCTCATCCCTAGTAAGTGAAATCTGCTGAAGTGGGCATTCCTGAGTAGTCAGCACAGCCTTGCACGTGTAATGTTGACTGCACCTATCGTTGCTACAATAGTGCAGGCGTTCCTAACTCCTGTGGCTGGAGCCCTGGCTGCATAGGGGGGTCCTGTTTTGGCTGCTGTGTACATGCAAGTACCCTCTCCAGCTGCTATTGATAAAGTGTTTTGAAAGCTCCTTAGGCTTTCCTTGCAATGCATTGAGTAGCTGACCAGAATTAGCAGCACTAAAAAAACCCAGGCAATGCTGCTGTGGCTGATGATGCAGAACCAAGGCCCTGAGCCATCCCACTGAGAGCTTGGAGGAGAGCTCCCCAGCTTTCTGTGTTGTCCTATTTGTCAGGCCCTTTCACAAGACAACCCATTGATGCAGAGCTGGTCAAAATGTGCTACTGCCTTTCTGCCACTTCACATTGATCTCACCCAGAATCAGAATGAAGATGGTGGACAACATGCAAGGGACAGGCAGAAATATCTTTAATGACTGCAAAAATCTCCCAGTGCCTCCAGTTTTCAACTAGAAATAAACTAAGTGTTCAAAGATCTCTGTGTGGATGTAAGAAAAATTTGTGAGGCAATAATGCAGGAGTAATACTGACTGAAGAAAACTCTCCAAAAGACAGAGAGCACATTACACCAAATACCTTCTCTCTTTGGTGCTTCTTTTCACATCTGGCCCTTGAAGCGTGGCCTTGATCTTCAGGATTAGGGAAAGGTTGATGACGTACTTTCTTTCTGACTCCAGCAGCTCCAAGGCGATGTTCTGCCTTTTGGCTTCCAGAAGATAATGGTTAAGTTTAAAAATAAGAAAATACTGACCTCAAGGACAGCTGCATGTTAGACTGATGAAGTGATCATGAAAGGAGAAACTTGTTTAAAAATTGTATCAGTGTCTCATATTTTTGTGTCTTCTTTACCCAAAATGTAAAACTCCACCCTGATGCTACACCATGCCCCAACCATGACCAGTGCCTCAGTTTGCTAAGAAAGCTCCAAAGCAGATGAAATTCCCCCAATGAACACAAATTTTTCCTAAGAATAACAAAACAAGCAATCAAAGGCAAAACAACTCATATCAGGGTTTCAAATCCTGAAGAAACCCTGCAGAATGAGCAGTTGTATTTTTCACCCACTTAAGCAACTACTCTGCTGCAATCCCATCAGTACTCTGAACCTGAGAGGTCTTGGAAAGGAGAAGGGCTGTCCTGGGTACAGAGTGATTCTGTCAGTCACACAGCCCAACAAATACAAAGGCCAGAGGTCTTGGAGTGTGAGGCCCTGAGAGATTCCCCCCAGCATCAGAAACTGGCCTGTGTGTCTCCCTCCATGGATGCTGATCACCAGCCAGCTCACACCAGCTTTGAGCCTCTCTCTTTTAGCCAGAGTTTTCTACTCCTTACCAGCCAAAGAGGGTTCACATATTATGTTGTCTGCTGAGCTGTATCTGCTTTGGCCCATGTCTTTCCCTCTCTCTGGTTGCTCTTTGGAAATGTATTCATCTCCCCAGTCCTTGGTGTCCTTGGGCTGCTTCCATACTGTTGATGGCAGATGCATTTTTGACTGTCCCTCTGTTGCCAGGGAAGGCTTGAGGCTGTCGTCTGTCTCTATGGCTGCTCCTGCAATGACAGACAGGTCTATGGACTCTGACATCTCAGCATCTCTCTGACAGGTTATGCTGCAGCAAGCAGATGATCTGTGTTCCCATCCATTTCAAGCACTGGAAGGTGAATTTGGAGCATTCTTTGTGCTTCACAAGGGCTGAAGCCTTGTAGAGTTAATTTACAAAGGAAGTGCAGTTGGTGAGCTCTTCAGGAGAACAAGGTTTGCTCTCTTCCAGTGTTTATTTTCAAGCCAAATAAGATCCAAAATTAGACCTATGTTAGAGAAGCAGAAACACCTTCTCTTCCCAAGTGGGAAAAGTAGTGCTCTCACTGTTCTTTGTCACACCAGGGAGCTTCAATTCTTCCTTTCTGCAAAAGCACTTAGAATCTGAGAAAGCAACAGCAGAAAGGCTTTCTCTGCCAAATCCTTGGCACTGACCACCAGAGACACTTCAGGGACACAGGTTTGCTCTCATATCTCAGCTGCAAGTAGGAAAATGGAGGCACAGGGCAGAGAGAAAGACATCCCTGTGAAATGCCTTCCCTGAAAGCATTTCTTCAGACCAGTAAAGCAAGCACACTAATTGAATCATTGTTCTGCTGTCTTTTGGTGCTTGATGTTTTATTACCTGGGCCTGCTATGACTTTCACAGCTCCTTCTCCCATGGGCATGATCCTGGTGTCAGACACTGTTGAAGAACAAAGGGAACTTTAGCAACAGAAGACAACTGTAGAGTTTGCTTCTTCCTGCCAAGCCCTGTCAGTGGGTAAAATCCTCCAGTCTTTCACAGTTTTGCTATGAAAACACTCCTGTTGGACTCCTCTGTAAGGAGGATCTTTTCTGCTGGGCTCTTGTCACAAGTCTGTGTTTCAGTAGCCCTTGCAGACAGATAATGTGGGGTCCCTGCTGTGCTCAGTGCTGTGTGACTGCAGAGGAATGTGAGCAGCCTTGGCTTCTCCTGGTATGCAGGTGCATGTTGAGTAGAAGGTACTCCACACAGAACAAAGAGGATGGAGACCTGACACAGAGACAGGGCTGATATTTTGCGTGGAAAGGAGCTTATTGAAGAGCAGAGGGATGAGACTGGAAAGAAAGGAGCAGTGGGAGAAGTGGGTGAGAAAGGTGGTTGTGCAAGAGGGATGTGAGGGAGAAGCTGATGTGCCACCTCAGAGTGTAGGGCAGAGGAGGGCCACAACTGACAGGTTCTGAGCAAAACAGAGTAGAAAACAGCACATGATTTTCATCTAATCTCTGCCTTTGTTGACAATTTTAATGGATATGTTTTTATTATCTTCCTATCTGAACAGCAAGAAAGTGATAGACCAGCTTAGACCCCCAGACTTAATTATAGAACAAAAGGCTCTGGCCCATCTCCTTTTCCTTGATTCCAACTTCCAAGTGTTTGGCAGTTAACAGTGTTTTCTTCATCAACCTCCATTTAGTTCTGTATCTGTGCCACTGGCACTACAGGAATGAAGATCCTGTATCCCTCTTCTTGGAGGAAGCAAGAAATGGCTGTTGAGACAATGTTTGCAAAGCAAATACTTCCTGAATCCAGGTTACCCCAGTGATCTTTTTCTGATTTTTTTTTCCTGAGGAAGGCACTGCATTTGCCTATTCTGTTTCTTACCTTTTTCATAAGTCACGTTGTGTAAAAGACTCGTAAAATCTTCATTAATCAGCACAGGTTCTGGGAGGTTGATGGATCGAAAGGGGCTGCCCTGGAGAGGTGTTGGCACTGTCTGTGACCCGTGGTCATCCTTCTGTGCTCTCCTGTACAAACACAAAGAACGAGGTGGTTGGAAAGTCTGAATGCTACAGGTGAAGCTCCTACACTACATTTGTGGTCAACACTGTCAGAAATAGGACGACTCTAGCAGAGACCAGGAAAGGAGCTGGCTTTGATGGAATTGGCAGTTCATGAACAGTGTTCTGGAAATAACTTCCACTGGCTACAGGAGAAGGTTATTTCAGATCTATTATTTTGCAGAGCATATTTCATCTAATTAAATAGTTTAATTAGCTGAGGGGCTAGCCTAGATTTGCAGTGTTTGCACCAAGGCAGCTGTATAGACTCATGATCAAAACTCTGTTTGCAGAAGGAGGCTAATTAGGACCAAGTTGGACAACTGTCTGCTTCATCACAGCATCAGTGTGGCCCAGCAGTGTGAAAACATTCTCTGACTCTGCTCAGAGGAGAAAAGGCTGGTGAAAGGAAAGCAGAGCATGCCTGCACCATCAGAAGCCCATTGAGTCCTGCAAGCTTGGAAGCTTGTTGTCTGAATGGTGGAGGCTTCTGACTTTCAACAGCCCCAGCATGGCTTTAGTGGGTCTCTGTTCCGCCAGACCCTGGTTCTCCAGGGAGCTGCAGGGGGCTGCTTTGTTCTTGGAATCACAGTGAGCTGTTAGCATTTTTCTTCTGTCTTTGCTCTGTGGGGTGTGTGTCTAAGAGCCTGGGGTGAACTGAAGCATTTCTGGTCATAAACAGAGTTGACACACATGTCCAGCCAGGAAAAAAATTAAGAAATTATGCTATACAGAAAGGAACAAAATGGACACCACTGCTAATTAGCATTTTCAGGACTGGAGTTTGGGCCCTTACTTAGCTTTCATTTTCCGTGATTCCCGCCGCTTCTCTTGCTGCAGCTGCTCAATTTTCTGTTGCATTTCCTCCTGCTTGGCACTGATTTCTTCAATCATTGACTTTGCATCGCTGAGCTCCTCCTGAGAAACAGGCAAAAGCACAGCATTCCCAGGGTGCCCATCAGCCTTACGTGGCACAGCTCTGAATGCTGGCTGGTGTGCACAAAAGGTGCTTCAGGGTGCTGTGGGGAGTGGCTCTGTAGTCAGACACACTTCCTGTGCAAGGCCAGGATGTGTGACATGTGCCATGCACAATGTGGCACAACATGGTGATCCTTAGTTCTACTGGCAACTCACCCAAGCCAGTGTGGTGCCACATGATCAAGGCACTGCTGGGAGATGAGACTCAGGGCTTCATCCACCACCAGCTGAAAGCACTGGGAGGACTCCTGTCCTTAACAGCATTTGGAGGTGGGCCTTAGGGAGCACATTTCCCTCTGTAGTTTTCCAGCATGTGTATTCACATGTTGCATGTGGTTCAGATCCCAGTGCGAGCACTCACACGTATAAGCTTTTGCCAGTCAGGCCATGGATCTGCCCTTTTAGCCTGGTTTCCTAAGAAAATTAGGCCCTCTGTATCCTCCCTGTCCATTCTCCCTCAAGCAGTTTCAGCCAAGCCTTACTCAGATGTAGAGCTCTGATGCATGAAGTCCCTGCAGGTTCCATGAATGTGAGCAGCAGGACAGAGGAGAAATTACTCAAGAGTTTCATATAAACCAAAGGATTTCCCCCAAGCAAGGACGTGACTTCAGTGGGAGCTCAGTGTTTGAACAGCCAACATGGGCATGAGGCAGAGGGAGAGCAGCCTTTGCCCCTTCTGTTGCTTGCATAATTGTATCTGCATTTTAAATCCCCCTTTCCCCTACGACAATGTCGTGGGTAACCCTGTGTCTGGCTGCTCTGAGATCTCTCCGATATGCCCTTGCCCTTTTTGTTCTCTTCCTTGCTCATCTGGCACCGAGGGCTCCTTTTGCCTGGTTCCATGTGTCTCCCTGTCACAGGGTTAGTAATGGGCTTTTTCAGTAAGCAGCCCCCTTTATCTTCACAAGGTACTATTGCCTCAGCAAAACCCCCTGGGGAAAATTTGCAATAAAAACTGTAAAAGAGTTCCTCTGCCTGCCTCGTCATCCAGTTTCTGCATGGAGACACTGGCTGGTCTAAAGTGTACATCAAGCCTTCTTGCTAGGCTGTCTCTCCAGCCCTTTGTCTTTATCCTCTTGAGCCAGATCACACCAGGCAGCACTTCCTCCCAGCCATGTGGAAATGCGACTTCAAAAGGCTTTAGGGTTTTGTGTTAATTTGCTGCTCCCCAGTGGCTTTGCTTCCTGCAGGAAATGCAGGGGACCTGACCCAGGGAGAGGTGTGGGACAGTGGCCCAGCAGTAGCCTATGAACAGGCCATAAACCCATGGCATGTGCAGCCCCAGAGCAAGGGCTGCTTTGTGCCCAGGAAAGTCTCAGCACTGCCTCATGGCCAGTCCAGAAGGCTAAATAGGCCAGAGTGTGGGTTACTTGTGAGTTGGAGCAGTGAGGGGAGACCCAAGGCCAAAGGAAGTACTCCAGGTGTATCCAAAACAATTGCTCACTCATTTTCTTTGCAAACAGGGAGCATTGATGGAGGCAGGGGAATGCTTCCCTCTGCCAGGCAAGCTCAGGCGGAATGCATGCAGCCTCCCCACAGGTCACACTCCTACCTTGAACGTGTTGAGGGAATTCTTCATCTCAGCCACCTTCTCTTCCATGGCACAGCGGCAGCTCTTGACCTTCTCTTCCAGGGCATACTCTCCATGCTGGATGCGTGACAGCTCCTGCATTGCTTCTGTGAAACCCGCCTTCAGCTCAGAGGCTAATGCCTGCAACTACAGCAACACAAACAGGTGGGTTCAGTCCCTCCTGCCAGGCTCAGGTGCTTGTGTCCCCCAAGGTCACAAAGGCTGGGTGTAACCCATCCTGTAAGGTGCTGTCCTCTTTCTCCTCCTCCTTTCATGGCTGGGAAACATGGGGAGAGGTTTGGCCCCTGCTGCAGCCTCAGTACAGAGTAGGAGGTGTTTGTCTTGGGCAATCAATATGCCCCTTTTTCAGACTTTTTTAAAAAACTTTTTTGAGTTTTTCCAGGCTCCCTGGCAGTTTGCAGCCTGTCAGCCTATAGTAGGAGAGGACAGCCTGAAACATGCCAAGAAGGTTTGCAATAACAGCAGCCAGATTATTAATCTCCAAAGCAGCTGAGCAATCAAGAACGTGTCTGGTTTTGAGCAAGTCCTCCTCCCACATGTGCTCATGGGGCTGGTACTCTCCCCACACAGGTCTAACCCCTCACTCTCCAAGGGTTGTGGAGAAGCTCTGTCCTTTGCCACGGGCCCTTTCCGTGGAAGGAGGCAGCTGTAACTTGTGCTGGGGAGGGAACAGGAGGTTTTCCCTTGGCATACAGTGACGCTGTGCCCACTCTCTCTATTTTCTATCCCTAGAGGCCCTGGTGCTGCTGGAAGAGCTCACCACCTAAGCTGGAGGCAGCCAGTGATAGCTGGGTGAAGCAGGAGATGGACTGGGGCAAGCCAAGCTGGCAGAGCAAGCAAACAAGGCAGGTGTGGAGGTGGGCAGTGAGGGGGGATCAGCGGCTGGCAGAGAGCTAAGCAGGGAATGCCCTCTTGGGAGCAGCTCGGGCTGGTGACCCTGGACTCTGCCCCCACTGCTGTGAGCGAGGCTCGTCCTGCCTGCACAAAGCCCACAGCGAGGTCGCGGCCCAAGGCGCTTCGGCACAGAGGTTTTTACCTTTACAACAGAAATTCGGCCTAACATCTGGTTATAAACTGAGTCCAAAACGGGAGCACTGGTGGTAAGCAGAGAGCCACCCCGGGAACTCAGGCGCTTGAGTCCTGCAAATGGAGCAGAGATGGCTTCCGATACCTCGGGGCAATGGCATGCACCAGCCTCCTCTGGTCAAGACTGGCAGTGTCTTTACAGAGGATGTCTGCCTGCCATCCCCGCTCCTACCCCAGCGCTCACCCCACGGCCCCCGCTCTGATCTGGCTGGACACGCATTTCCAGAGTGCCTGGGTAGGAGGAGCAGGACTGACAGGAACCACAGGCACTGGGACAGTGCAGAGGGGGGAGCAGGAGGCTGAGGACATCTTCCTTCAGCAGGATGACAACCCTGAGTCCTCAAGCCAGCTGGAGCTCTGGACTCCTTCACTGAACACTTTCCCCCACCCCTCCTGGCCACAGTGTCACCCTGTGACCTGTGAATGTAGCCTGAAGGGTTAGAGGGGCTGCTTAGGGCAGACAGTGACCATGCTGCTTCTGATATCTCAGCCCAGATGGTTGTGGCATCATCAGACATCCTAACATATGTGCCTGGAGAAGGGGGAGGAAGGATTATAAAGTACTGTGACTGTGCAAAATGTTAATATTCCCATCCCTGCTCACCGGTGCTTGACACACTTTCCCCCTGAGCTGACATGGCCAAGGTACAGTCTGTCTGCCAGCCTGCACCAGGGCTGGGCATCACACACTGCCCTCCAAGTGAAAAGGGTTGATTTGCTAGATTTGTCCCTTCCAACTGGAATATGCTATTCCATTCTAACCTATGCTATCCATTTTAAAGATCTGCTTCGGGATGGAGATATCACAGCCCCAAGTCTTGCTAGCAGTGGAGCAGTCCTGGAGCTGGCCCTGGAGATAGGAGAGGACATAGTCTGGGGAGAATAAGCTGAAAATTAAATGTTTCTGCCCACAAGCCAGGCCATCTCCTTCTCAGATGCTTCCAGAAAGGGGCTAAGCTACATAGATCCTTTGAAGGGTATAGGGATGGGAATCATTGCTGGTCTTGAGGTTTCAGAGTAGGAAACTGCAAAGCATCAGCAAAAGTGGACCACTGCAGAGAGTTTGGTGTCCATGTGCACTGAAACTCTATGAAAGCAGAGTTCAGCCAACATAAGGAAAGACTAGGATTAGATCCTGGACAAAATATCCTCTGCATCTAAGAGCAGACAGTGACCTGTTACTTTGGTATTTGCTTTTGGCCAATCTTGCTTTTGTGGTGACAGTGGTAGTTTAGTTTCTTTGTGTATCCATCTCAGTGCTCCAGAGCCCAGCCTGAATCTATCCTGCCCCATATATCCTTCCTCAGCCCCATGCAGCCTGCAGTGGCTATTTCAGACACTGAAATGCATCCTTGTGTTGCTGCTTGAGGGATGGATGCAGCCAGAAACACCAACCAGCCACAGAGCTTGAATGATGGAACAAGAAGTGCTGAAACCCTGAGCAGGTCAGGGTTAGCATAGAGGGAAAATACATTCTTGTTGCATTGGATGCAGAGTTGATCCAAAATCAAGGGAAGTGGTACAGGAACAGCAGGTTATCTTTAAACTCTTGCCAAGCATGGTGTAGCTATGGATTTTAGTTTGAGCTCATTTCTAAAAGCAAGCTGTAGAAAACCATCCTTTAAATCCCATAAGCTGTTGAAACAGATGGAAGCCATCGAGGTATCAGGCCCTGCCCATGTCTTGGCAAAGTGACAGGGCTCTGTCTCCACAGGAATGGCCTATGCCTACAGGACCAGAGAGGTACTTCACAGGTTTGTGACCCTCTGGAAAGTCAAGCCAACTCTGTGTTTCTCTAAAGTTTCTAAGTGCAACACATACCAAAAAAGACAGATTGTGTAATACAGCAACAGTTAAACTGTAATGTGTTGCCCTGGCTCACTTATTCATGGGAGTAAAGATGTAATTTAAGTTGTAGAATTTAAGAAATAATAACTTAAATGGAACTAATGCCTAGAGGATAAATGAATCTGCACAGTCATAGGGAGTCCTTTGAACCTGTCCAACAACTGTTCAAAAAAAGCATTTAGGCATCTAAATAATTTAGTACCAGGTACAGATTTCAGCACCCATCTGCCTTTGGACTATGGCCCTCAAACCTGACAAAGCAAAGCAGTGAGGCATCCAGTGCCATATGTCTGTAGTTATGTCTTTCTTGGGCCCCATGACTCCTATTTCACCTGCTGCCCTGATGTTTTTCAGCTCTGTGTGGAAAAACCATGCTGTTCACAAAGGGTGCACAGGACTGATGCTGCTTCCTGGAGCTGAGGCAGCAAAACTGCAGAGTCCCCCCCTCTCTCTCTTGGTGGGTGCCAGCAATTTGAGACATTTGTAAAAGATAACAGCGGTCCTTGCAGCCTAAAGATTTGTTCAGGCTTTGAGGCAGTCCAAGGAAGATGGTTGCGGACAGCAGATGGGGATGGTTTATGGAAGGAAGGAGTGGGATGGAAAGAGGGCAGCAGAGCCTTGGTGAGCTGGGTCACTGTCCTGGCTGCCACTGAAAGGATGAGAGGGAGCCCTTGCTTCTCTGAGTAGCTGTGTCCCCACAGGTTTCCCCCAGCACTGGCCAGGCTGTCCAGGTCTCTGTCTCCACAGGGATGGCCATTTGCATCTGCACCAGTGGCAGCTGCCTAAGTCCTTACACTAGAACAGGACCTGCTGTCTGGGACCTTGAGCTGAAGCATGTCAAAACCAGTAGAAAACAGGCTCATGATAAAGAAATACTGCACAGAACAATTCTGCTATTATAAATATATTCTTGAAAAGAGCAAAACCTTCTGTGGCCATGAAGGAGTACTGTCTGTGGCGCTTCCCCAGCTTATCTACTGTCCATCACTGCACACCTTTTGGGGCTGGTCTGAAGAAATAAATAGACATTGTGTCTCTCAAAGGAGGGCTGCCTGAGGACACTGCTTGAAACCAATCTGGCACAAAGTCCAGTGTTTGACACAAGCCCTGGATCTGATTCTTCTGAGTTGCATGATGCATGCTTTTACAAGGAAACAAATCTTTAGAACAGCTACTAACTCCTGTACTTAAGGGCAGCATTCCTACAGCCAAGCATTAGGAAGGCTTGCAGTGCCTCATAGCAGGAAAGCAGCAGAGCTGCAGTGATTTACAGTGCCAACGAAGCTGGTTCTAGGAGTATATCCAGCATATATATTCCTAGGCAAGGATGGTAGGAATACAGTCAGAGGAGCAAAGTAAATAGAGAAGAGAACGATGACTTAAAGGGAGCTGCAAGTACTCATCAGCACTTGTTCCACATCTGTGCAGTCCCTTTGGCAACTGCATTGTCCTCAGGGCCTTTGCTGAAGCAGAAGGAAAGAGCCAGCTGGTGACTGACATGTAAGGATTCATTAAGGTACCCACGTGTCAGCTGGAAAGCAACATGTGTGCATGGTGTTTCCAGCACAGTCCCACGTGCATGTTGGATGCACTGTGCTGGACGCTTGGAGCTGTCTGGATGGGAAAAGAGGATGAGATGACAGAAGTGCTGGATAGTTCATGGAAAGCAGTGCCTTCTCCACTTGCTGTGGTGCACTTGCAAGCAATTACAGACATTAGTGCTGCAATGGTGACAAGGGAGATCTCAAATAGTCTGGATTTCCACTTCAGGGGTGTGTTTCCTCTCTCAGATTACGGTTCCATATTGAACCAAACCAGGGACTAAAGCGCTTAAAACTCTGTCACATTTCCTGCAGACTGGAAATGAGTGGGAAACATCACTGTGGAAAGGCTGAAACTGTCATACAGGATGGATACTTCTTGGGCTGTGGTAACAGACAAATTTACAGCATCTGTGGTGTCCAACTGCAGCAAAAATGTTAGCCCAAAGACAAGGCACAGAGCTCAGGAGGAACTGATCACCAGGGCTTCTAGCTGGGAGGCCAGACAAAGACATGCAGAAAGACTCAACACTCTGGCTGCTCTGGATTACCAGGCAAGAGTACCCCATGGTCTGAGGAGCTGGGAGGCTGCCAGGATAACTTGGGCCCCAGCTGCATAAGGCACCCCTGCCCCATGTCAGTCAACAGATCATTGCTCCTGGGACAGTTCATCAGGTTTGCTGAAAGCTCATCAAAGCTCAGTCATGAAATCTCCCCCCAGCTCAGTGAATTGACATTCTCTAGTTGGCGCTAATGATGTCAGTTGCTTAATTAGCTGAGCTCACAAATCACCTGTCTAAACACAACTGGTTGTGAGCACAGAAATTTTACTGAAAGGTCTTTTTAAGATGAGGCCCAAGATGTGTGATATTTATTCATGCAGTGTGCACGTTTTGGTTGCCATGTTCCTTGTAAATGCCTACATTTTTCCTTCAACTTAATTTAGCTTTTAACTACTGTTGATATATTAGTAACTCTTTAAACTCTTGGAGATATTTAGGGCATTTTGCTCATCTTTACCTGGGAAATCTGTGTTGCAGGGGTACTCACAGGCACACTTTCAGTCCCTCCTGTGGGAATAAAGAACTTCAGTCAATTAAAATGACTTATAATGGCTGCTATAAATAACTGGAACAGAGGTTTTGAAGTCCCTCTTGAGGAGCAAATCAGTTTTAAAGGACTCAAGTCTCACTTTAGGAGGTCTGGACACCATATTTTATAAAATAAACTGCAATTATAAAATAGGAATGACTCACCTAAATTCAGATGTTAAATTCACCTTATTTGCTGTCCTTTGTCTGGCCAGAGATGATCCATGCAAGGAAGTGAGAAAGCTTGTATGTGCAATTAGGCTAAATTGCTCTCTGTTAAGTATAGTTCTGTGAACCAGCCTTAGGTAACAGGGTGTTTTTTTTGTCCTAAAGCATAACTGATCTGTTTCTCTACTGAAACAGTCAATTTTATCCTCTGCTATATCTGTACATATTTCTTTTACCTCCACAAAAGGCAAAATACCTTATCTGAATATTTGAAGTTTTGTCACAATGCAATCCAAGCAGTAATCATGTCTTTTCTAACCTCCCAAAATTACACCTTTTCATTGGTTTTGTCATTCCTGGGGGTTTGTGGTATGGTGATCCCAGCTGATCTTGTACAACCTAACATTGCTGAAACAGACTTAGCTGATGGAGGAGATTATATCTATTTTGCAGAAGTATTTTGGACACTGCAGAGACATTAATCCTAGAATCATGGAATCATTTGAGTTGCAAGGGACCTTTTTAAGGCCATGTAGTCCATGTGTCTTGTGCAGAAACCTTCAGTTGTCCAACAGAAATCTCTGCTGGCTCTGCTGCTGTTGCCATTTGAGGCAATTGCAGTCCAATGGCCACGGTGTTATTCCCTCCATCACGCTCCCTGGCTGGATCTCACTCCCAGAAAACACCATGCTGCTCTGTTCCTCATCTGGATTGCCTCCCCTTGGGAATGCCACTTCACAAGATAGGTTTTCTCTTCCCTCCAAGGATTTACCTCACTTATCTCTGCTGTTAAGTCACAGACATGACCATTAACCCCATGCCCAACTCCAGGGGAAGCCAAGCTCCTTCTTTCCACGCTGGCTACAGATACTTGATGCTTTTCCAAGCTGGGCCTTTAAGACCACAGAAATGCAGTCCTGCAGAAGCTGGAAAAGCATGCAGGGAGGACTCTGCACAGTCAGCCAGTGGAAAGTTGAAGCCTGGAAGTCAGAGCTATACAAGGCATAGCTCCATTCTGATTTTCTTTACCCCTGAGGGGGAATGTGGGTTACCAGCAAGGACACCTATGAAATGGCCCTGTTCTGGTCTCTAGGATTTGTCCTGATTCAGAGGAACTTGAGCAAATTCCCCAATGAATTGCAGAAGGGAGAGGCAGAGAGGCTGTGTGCTCCTCTCTGCCCATGTGCCACTTCCTGCCTGTGCTAGTGGCTCTCTCAGCTGTGGGGCTGAGTAGCTGGGTCAGACACTGAGCCTCTGGGGAATATCCTCTCATGCTTCCTCCTAGGGAAAACAAGAAGCAGCAGGCTGATTGGGAGAAGTGACTATGACTCCAAACTGCCAGCTGTTTGGGGTCAGAACTCATCAGCCAGCCTGCACCAAGTCCCACTTTTAAATTACAGGTTGTTTTCATCTTCAGCTTTGGCCTTTCTGGTTCTTTTTTTTTCCAGATTTTCTCTGCAACCACATGAATAAGGAACTGACCTTTGGCTGGAAGTTTCTCATGATGCCTGGGGCTGTGTGTACAGTGACTCTCCTGAATCATGGAAACTGAGGCCCATGCCAGTTCTGTTGGGCTCTTGCTGTGGGATAGTAAGGACTGACTCAAAGAGAGCAAGAGGACATGTTTCTGAATTAACAGTACAACACAAACCAGGTGCTGGGAGGACAAGGAGATGCTTTTTTTACAACATGGGTGGGCAAACTGAGTGCAGAGCTTTGTGAAGGACTGGAGGTGTCAGGTAGAAGCATAGCACAGCAAAGGAGAGCCTGCTCAAATTTTCTTTGGGTGTCTTTCAATCTGATACAAAACACAGAGGGCCTGAGCCATGTCCTGCAGAGATCTGTAGGGATCTTTCATGTGGATTTGATTGTGCATCACTCTGTAATGTCCTTGGATATACTAAAAGTGAGGAACTGCTCTTGATGGGTAGAGGATCACTGCTACTGTGACTTTACTTCCACCTTTGCCATGAGCACTCTCTGAATATACCCAGTCAAAACACAGATCATTTCTATAAAGTCACTGCAAAGAGCTGAAGCAGAGGAGGCTCCTCACTGTGGGAAACAAGGGACTTTGTGGATCTCCCAGTTTCTGCAGTGAACATCTGCAGCCAATGAGGGCATAACAATTAATTGGAAAAAATCCCTGAGTTAATTTCCTTTTCAGCCTGCTGTAGTGTAAGGGCCTAGGTACACAGACCTAATTTCATCAAATTAGAAGAATAATAATAATAATAGAGAAATTAACTTTTCTGATAACTATGCCATGAATAGTGGCACCACCAAGCACCTTTTAAGAGGGAAAGAGGTGGTCCAGTCTCTCTCCTGAGCTGACAGCTGTGGACACTCCTTAGAGCTGCTCCCCCTGCTCATAGTTCCAAGAGTTCCTCACCATATGGACACAGTGCTTCTGAGGTGGCAAGGCAAAACACTATGCAAAACACTATGGGTTTGGGGTGGAAAGCAAGTACCACATTCCTCTGAAAGAAGTCAGTAACCACTAAAACTCTGGATTTGAGCTTTGCAGACTTTCTAGAATGCAGCAAACATTAGCAAGGACTGATTGCATGCAAGCAATGTGGCCTGGATATTTCTTGGTGCTTGCAAGATTGGGATTGATGCAGATATCTGTGTTGTGGCACTGATACAAACAGGAACCCCTCTCTACAAAGCACATGGGGGAGAGAAGCAGATCCTCATCACAGCACCCTCACGTAAAACACCGCTTTGGACAGTCAGAAGTCTCTCTACATCCTAAGGCAGAAATGGGGCACGAGGCAAGAAAAGGAATGACTTCCCACACTGGACATTACATATGTCTCAGGAGTATTTTCCAGAGAGTAGAGGGAGATGGTTCTAAAATAGGAAATAAAAATGTCAACCCCCAGATATTTCTAAGAACTGGAAGTACTGAACATTTGCCCACAGCTGCCATGGTTGAGAGGTGCTCTCAGGGGCCTGGCTGGTGGCCAGCAGACATCTCCTATGGGAGCATGTTTCTCTCTTGCTGTCTTTCATACTAGCAAGAAGTGAAATAAGAGGATGCTTTACCTTCGTGTTTGTTTGTGTCCATGGCTGCTATGGGGTGTGCGTCCTCGCAGGGACTCCTGTCCTCACTCTGGAGGGCTCTGGCTGGTCACTGGGAACATCCCATGGCTTAGAGCTGCCCACATGTGAGCCCTGGGGTGGGTCAGCTGACCTGAACCCTGAGTGCAGAAAGATGCAGAAAGGGTTTATTGAGCAGAGCTGCTCCAAGTTCAGACAACAGAGAAAGGAGGAGGGATTTGAGAGATAATGAAGCATCCTAAAGATCTGTTTGTGTTCACAGTGCCTCCACAGAGTGTATGCTGGTACAAACACTTCCCTCCCAGCCCAAGGCCATTTGTGCTTCCATGGACAGGTGACTAAAAGGTTCTATGTAGTCCCACAGAGACTGTTTTCTCAGCAAGATAATTTCTTTATGAACACTGAATCAAAATATGTTGTAGTTTGAACAGCACATGAACACGTTGCATGAGTGTTCTGTGTCCAAGAGTCAATTTTTTGCTATGTAACCAGTCACTCAAAATCTGCTTCAGACCTATGTTTGGGCCACAAAAATACTGCCTTCAGAATGCTTCTGCACAATTCTGCTAGCACTTTAGGAGGCACTTGTCCTGCTTTCTCTGTCCACTGCCTCCCTGACTGGGAGACACAGGAGTGCTGCAAGGCACCTCGATGTGCAGAGGTGTGGCCTCTGTGGGAACCAGGGACAACAGGGCATGAGGCTGTGCCCAAGCCAATCCCGTGGTAATGCACCTCATCATTCATCTGCTATTGGGATTAGGACCCTGATGCCTGATTAATGACATGGGCAGAGACAGGGAAAATAGATTGGACCAACTCACACTTTTATCAACACGGGCCCTGCCACACATCCATACTGCCCAGGGTTTGAGTCAAGTCTGCTTTTGTCCAGCCTCACTAGGAAACCAGATGTGATTTAGGACTCTAGAATAACCTCCTGCCTCCATTCCTGTTGGACACAGCTGTGCAGAAGGCTGATGTGAGTCATCCTTGGCTTTGCTAACGGGACTGGAGTGGCCAGCATAATTATGGCACAGAGCTCTGCTGGCACAGCTCTGCCAAGGTGGTTCAGAGAGGTCTGGGGTGATGTGTTCAGGGAAGTATGCACAGAGAAAGGCACAGAGCATTAAATAGGTGGGAGAACTGCAAAATATGCAAGAGTCCTGTGTAGCTAGTGGAAATCAAAGCAGAAGCAGGTGCTTCTGGTGCAGTCAGCAGTGTAGCTTTGGGCCCCACACATTAAACCTGAGAGCTTTTGAGTGTGGAATTTCCAGGAGAGGAGAGTGGTGACACTACCACTGCCACAGAATACCCAGCTGGCCTCTTGCTGGAGGGTCTGATGTGGACTGAAAGGCTTCCAGCACAGCACTGGAGGGACTTAAAGTTAAGCATCATCTTAAGATTGAGGGTTAATGAAAAGATAAACTTATTTGTAAGAGAGCTGTTTGTAAGATCACTTGCTAAGAAGATACACTGACTTCTCAGGACAGAGAGAACACGCTTGGTGAAGCGTGTGGAAAACCTGAGCAAGGGTGGAGGGACCTTTGAAGTGGGATTTGTACAAATAGGCTGGGGAAGTTCCCACAGTGAGATAAATCTTAGAGTTTTTTGCATCTGTTTTCAATCAGCTGATAGTATAGCAGTTATTTTTTTGTTCTGAAGACTCTTAGAATCATTACAGAGTTTAGATGGGCAAGGACCTCTGGACTTACCCGACTCAAAGCAGGGCTAACCCCAAAGCTAGACCAGGTCAGGGTCACACCTAGTCAAGGTCTAAGTATGTGCCAGGTTAGAGAATTCTCAACCTTTCTGCTCCTGCAAACCAGGGCTACACTGCTTCTATGAGGAAGCATTTTTTCCTTATGGTCAATCAAGTTCTCTTTTGTTGGAGTTTGTGCCCATGGCCACTTGTCCTTTCATTGTGTCTGTGAGAAAAGCCTGGCTGTCTGGACTACAACCCCTATTAAGTAGTTGCAGGTGGCTATAGAATTCTCCCAGCCTTCCTTTCCCCAAGCTGGACAAACCCAGCCACTTAGCCTCTCACCCTATGCTCTGTGCTCTAGCCCTCTCCAGAAAAAAAAAAAAAAGAAAGAAAAAAAAAATTCTTTTTTGGTACTAAGTATTCCAGAGAATGACAAGAATGTGAGTTGTTTTCAAAGTAGCTAAATCTCTAGAAGTTTTGAGGACAAGGTATTTAAGTGTGTGTCTCTGAGCAAAACAGACTTATAAATTCAACTTCAGTAGCAGAGCTGTTAAAACTTTGCTCCCAGTTTAAATTAGTCAGCACCGTAGAAAATTCCTGAGACTGGGCTGTTGAACTAGGACTAGTGTGCTTAACAGAGAACTGGTTTTAAAATTCAGAATTGTTTTTGCAATGTTGGGGGAAGAGGAACAAGTAGGAAAGACAAAACAGATATGTAAGAAATATGAACCTCCTCTGTTTTCATTGAAAACAAAGAAAACAGCATTTTGCTGAAATTTATTTATTTCATTTTTGCATATTTTTGACTATTATATTAAGGACATGTTTAAGCACAGTCTGTGTCCTCTGCAGAGCTCAGAGTGAGTCTTTGAAACTGGGGCACCGGGGATGCCACCATCCCCTCCTTCTCCAGGCAAACCAGGAATTTTGCTATCTGACTGCACTGCAAAGTAGGTTGACCTTGGTTAAGTGGGTCCAGAAAATCTTACCTGTTTTACCAAAGTAACTGTCTTTGTGTGTCCTTTATCTGCAGCCTGCAATTTCCTGAGTTACCCCTTGGTTCTTTGTTATGTTAAATAATTGCATTAACATTGGCTACTTTCCGGAATTTAGGGCTCACTGCTGTACTTGGTGAATATGTAACATTGCCTCTCTCTCCCTGGTGCTCCTGAATTGCTGAATATAAGACGCAAAATTAATCAGTCCTTCCTCATCACTGGAACAGAACATGAGCCTTGCCCTGGTTTGCAGGTTTGTCCTCTATTCCCCCCAGCTGTGGGTGGGGAAGCTGTTAAGATCGTCCTCACCAGGGACCAGGATTTCAGGGACCCTGAGCTGGCTGAACAGTCTGGCTTGTGCCTAAAGGGTGCAAAAATGGGGTGGAAAATAGGATTGGTATTTGGCCCTAAGAATCTGGATGGGGGCTGCTTGGTCAAACTGTGCCTCTGCTGGCAGTGGACAAGTCCTAAACTCACAACAGAATCAAAGTGAGCAGGAGCTCTTGTACGGCTCTAGTTCAACTTCCTGCTCAAATCAAGAGTAATGTCAAACTTCCTCAGGACTCAGTCCAGCTCTGGTCTGGATAGTTCCCACACTGGAGTCTTCACAGTCCCTCTGGGCCCTCCAGTCCTGAAGAATATTTTTCCTTACATCCAGTCAGGGTTTCCCTTAGCTGCAGCTTGTACCCAGTGCCTTTCACTGTGCACCTCTGGGAAGATTCTGGACTCCATCTTTTCCAGCCTCCTTGAGGCAGTTAAAAGCTGGAGAGAATCCCCCCCCCTTCATGTTTTTGTCTCAGTCCTGAGCAAGTCCCTCCCTGTATACATATGCATGATTCCATGTGCACATCAGCAGCAAGTGCAAGCTCTCCATGAAGCTCCTTTCCTAAACCACTACCAGGCCTCCACCTGTGGCAATTCCAAGGTTTGTCTGACATGCCAGCCACCACAGGGTAGTTCCCTCATCAACAAGGAGATGTTATTGCTCCTCTGCAAGCTCCCCACTGGCCAGGCTCAGTACCCAGTCACACATGGAGCCATTCCCAGGCTGTCTTGGCCTGCCATTCAAGCCCAGGTCCCCTGCTTT